GTGTTGCGTGTGTGTGGATGCGGATGTTTGTATGTGTGGATCGTGTATTGTGTGGATGTGCATGTGCGTGCGGTGTGTGCGTTGCGTGTGCGTGTGGCGTGAGTATCTGCGTGTGCGCGTTGCGTGTGGTGTGCGTTGCGTGTGGCGTGTTGCGTCTCCGTCCGTGTGGCGTGTGCGTTGGGTGTGCGTGTGGCGTGCAGGATGGCACAGTTGTGCCCACGTTTGGATGTTCTCCCATCACCAGGACAACAAGTTGCATGAAACCGATAAAGTCAATAAAACAGAAGGGTGAGTTACCTTTTTCTCTGTCACACTGTCGATTATCTGCGCAGTTACAGAGTGTCCAACGTGAGCAGACAGCAAGGCAGCGGCGTTGTTTTCGGACTGAACACAGGCCGTGCGCATCTGCTGCCACCAGGGGGAAACCGACTGAGTGTCCCAGGACTCATCTATAGCCACTGAAGGGAAAGGGAGAACAGGAAACTCAGCTTGGGACATTGGGTGTCGCACCAGCTAAGCAGCAACCAACCCTCAACCCAGCACTTATTAATACAGCTTGTATTAGCAGAAATTTCCAATTACTCTACATTATCATTTTCTAGATACATAGCACACAATGTCTAGAGTGCAACTCAAATTTAAAATATGATATGAACTACTCATTCTCCAGATTTCATTTGTAGGAAACAGACAATAGATCTAAATCACTGGGTATTAAATCTGTTGCATGCTTAATAGGTGTAAGGAACATTACAAAGTGACATTTCACAATGCAGACAGCATCTCTTGTGACTTCAAGATGTCACACATATTCAATGCACTCAAGCTGTCTCTCTTCAGTCTACCTCATGTTTAGCAGTATTAATTTGTTCAGACAGCAGCAGCAGCTTATTCATGCTTCTAGTTTCAAGCTGATAATGGTGAACTAGGCATCAGGGAACCTGACACTGTGTGAGGTAGGAGAATCCGTATTTTTTCGTATATACAACATACACACAACCTACCCCAAATAATGGCAAATTGACTTTATAAAGTACTCCTCAAGTTAGAGAGATGTTTAATATATAAATGCTGCTAGAATAATAGTGTCTCAAGGACATCTGAGAGCCAGTCAGCAAGAGGGAGACAGGACTACACATCCAAAAAAACATGAGGAAAGTGAGCTGGACAGCTACCTTCTGGTGCCAGATAGAAGTTGTGTCAACTTAATGTAGAGTGAAAATTCAGGGCATGAAACAGGCCTTTAACTGTGGCACTCTTCAGATTTTTACTATATTTATCTAACTATATTTCCTATAGTTAGCCCATGAACATGCAGCATTTAGTTGTGTTACATAACTTGTGAGGGGAGAAAAACCCTAAGTGATAATACAGACTAGCGAGAGTAGCCAGTAGAACTTCTAATAATAATTAATAACAGTTGCACTTCAGTATCCCAAATGGCCATTTCACCTTTCATTTTGCTCAGAAGTGACAGCATAGTATGAAGGCAACGGACAGAATCTCGTTTGTCTAGAATATCTTTTTCCTTGGAAAGCCATAAATTGAGAAGGAGGGACTGCAAAAAAAGAGAATGTGGAATTAAAGCAATAGAATGAAAGTTTAAATATCATAATATACCTAATGCAAACACTTTCTCAAACCAATTTTGTCACAGAGGAGAAACATTATAACCATGAACCATTATATTAACATAGAAAGTTAAAAATATGCTGCATAAGGCACCCTATGACAGATTCTGAAATGAAACAATACAATCTGCAGCTTTAATTTAGAAAGATATCCTAGAAAACACCCTCTTTTGAAGGCTCAACTAGACAAACATTAGCAGTTATTAATCTTACTGCTGAAAATATTAATATGGGCAAGTAATACTGAAATGTATTTCCATAGTAGGTGTAGTGAATGGAAAAGCAGCACGGAACTACAATTACATGTAGATGAAAGATAGAGATGATTGTCTGAACACTATTAATGATTCTGAAAAATTTACTTTTCTTTTAAACGTCCTTGTTTGCTTGTAAAAAGGAATTTTAACAAATGTATCAGCCCCTGAACTTAACTACTCTCATGATTTTTGCTTCTTTGTAGAACTTTTCAGCAAAATTTTTTAACACTTGTAGTTCTAAATACATACTCTAGACATTCCCACTAGGATACCCACATTTTCTACTAGAATATTTTTTTCTATTTTTTCTTTGACATCTCTTAACTGGTAAATGCAAATATGAGCAACCAAAGAACTGAATGTGGGGGCATTTGAACACAGCATGAATACAGCACTAACCTAAAGGTCAACATTCAGAATTCTTTCTTTCGATGTTTTGCTTTCAAAACACTGTATCAAAGTTTTAAAGTAATAAATGTCTTACCAACAAGGTTTGTGGGCTAAAACCTGCTGATTCCAATGCATGACACATTTCCTCTGTAGAACTCTGTCCACACAAACATTTCCAGAAGAAAAAGCTGCCTGAAGCAAAAATCAGTTGACATTATGAATGACATCTAAAGCCACAGCCTCTACCCTTACACATACATGAAAGATAATCTAATGATCAGGTCCCACTGAGTGCAATACAAAGGGCTAAGTTACATCCAAAATTGCCTCATGGTTTACCCTTAGTGAAGAAGGTTTGTTACAAAGGACATAGGTGTTCCTACCACTACAGGAGTCACATGGAAAATGGATTTATAACAAAACAAAGGTTATTGTACTGCTTGAATGCCCTGGTTTCAGCTGGGATGGAGCTGATTTTCTTCCTGGTAGCTGATATAGAGCTGTGTTGGATTTAGGATTAATGTTGCTAACATTAATGGTTAGCTGTTATTAAGCATTATTTACACTAAGTCAAGGACTCTGCAGCTTCTCACACTACCTGACTAGCAAGTGGGCTGGGTAGCACAAGCAGCTGTAAGGAGACACAGCCAGAACAGCAGGCCAAACTGGCCACAGGGATATTCCATACCATAAAACATCACTTTAAGTACATAAACTAGGGGGGAAAAACTAGCCAGGGCCTCCTGTGAGGTGTGAAGGAAATGTATCCTTCAAGAAATATGTTATATGTCACCCAGGCAAATGGACTGACCCAGACTGCACTGGAACAGAGTTAAGGTCTGGAAGCCCTGCAATGCATTCACGACATCATTGTGTGGGGGCAATATAGCAGAAGTTTTGAGAAAAGGAAGCAAATAGTCCAAATCCTTCTAAAAGATGGTTTTGCCATAAACCAAAGTAAACTTAAGGGATCTACACAGGAAATCTAGAAGGAAAACTGCTGCATGGAGCCCTACATGTCAAGACACAGAAACTGCTGAAGGATGAGGTGAAACAAGTAGTTTGCAGAGGTGAAAGCCATTCCGCTGGCTTCAGAGATTGCTGAACAAGCAAAATGGCCAGTACTTATCTCTATACTGACTCATGGATGGTGGCAAATACCCTGTGTGGTTCCAGCAACGGAAGCAGAGCAACTGGCAGCACAAAAGGAAACCTAGTTGGGCTCCTGAATTATGGCAAGATACTGCTGCTCAGGTAGAGAAACTGGTTGTAAAGGTATGTCACATAGTTGCTCATAGACCCAAGAGCTGGGCCAATGAGGAATGTCAAAACAGCCATCAGATACGCCAGGCTGCAAGGATTGAAGTGGCTCAGGTGGATCTGGACTGACAACATAACAGTCAATTTATCTATAGCCCAATGGGCCCATGAAACGTCAGGCCATCAAGGAAGAGACAAAACATATAGATAGATGGGCTTGTGATGAAGGGTGGACACTTGACTGTGGACACTATTGCACAGGTTATCTATGAACGTGGAACATATGCTGCAATCAAGCAAGCCAAGCAGTTAAAGCCTCTGGCTGAAACGTAAGTACAAGGAGGCCTGACAGATTGACTCTATCACACTACCCCAAACCTGCCAAGGCAAGCACTATGTGCTTACAACAGTGGAAGCAACCACCAGATGGCTGGAAACATCCTGTGCCCCATGTCACGGACCGGAACACTATCCTGGGCCTTGAAAAACAAGTCTTACGGTGACATGGCACCCCAGAAAGAATTCAGACACATGACAGGACTCATTTTCAAAACAACGTCATAGACATCTAGGCCAAAGAACATGGCATTGAGTGGGTATATCACATTCCCTATAATGTACTGCCTCTGGAAAGACTGAATGATGCAATGGACTGTTAAAGGCTACCCAGAATGCAGTGGGTGCTGGGGCATTCAAACATTGGGATACACATTTAGCAAAGGCCACTTAGTTAGTGAGCACTAGGGACCTGCCCAATCAAAATGTGATGTACAATAGGAGGGATGAAGACCCTGCAGTGTTCATAAAATATAAGCTGGGGCACAGAGTCTGGGTTATTTCCTGCCTCAGACAAAAGTAAAGCCATTCGTGGGATTACTTTTGCTGAAGGACCTGGATGCTCTTGGCAGATAATGTGGAAGGCTGGGGAAGTCCAATGTGTACCTCAAAGGGATTTGATTCTGGGTGAGAAGAGCCAATGACTTGAACTGTACAATGTTAATTGCTATATAATATTGTATGGCATCACTACTATGGCTGCTATATGCCATATCAATGGTATTACAATAAATTACCCAGATCAACAAAGAATTAATTTTGATGAATCTGGGCAAAGTGCAGTGATGATTAACTTGATAAGCACAGTGTTGATGGGACAAGAACCGGTTTCAGCATGCAACATTTCAACACCACACACCATCCCTCCTGTCTTAAAGGGCTACTATGACAGACAGAGCCCACAGTCATGCACTAAATGAACTCAAGGGACATTTTAGAGAGATGGCCCATAGATTAAGGGAATGATCTCTGCATGCACCTATCAAAACGCAGGAAAGGTGGTGGTGATTAGCCAGGATGTACTGGGAAGCATGGGACCTGGACATGAAGTAAATGGTATACGATAAGGGGTGGATATTCTCCTGGTTTCAGCTGGGACAGTTGCTTTACTTCATAGCACCTGGTACGGTGCTCTGTTTTGTATTGAGGATGAGAATAATGTTGACGGAAACAACTCAGTCATCAGTGGGATAAGCATTATTTACACTAACTCAAGGATTTTTCAGCTTCTCACACCACTGCACCAGCAAGTAGGCTGGGGAGCACAAGCAGCCGGGAGAAGACACAGCCAGGTGGTAAGATATTGTACTGTGCATCACCTGTTTTGTATAATCTAATTCTTCTATCATTATTCTTGTCATCATTATTATTGCTATTATCCTCCTAAGTATATCCCCTTCCTTTTCTGTCCTATTAAACTGTCTTATGTCAACTCACAAATCGTACTTTTTTTTTGTCCAGTTCTCTCCCTTATCTCACTGTGGGTGGGTAGTGAGTGAATAGCTGTGTGATGTTCTGCTGCCTGCCAGGTTAGGCCACAACATTAGATTATACACTTAGTTCAATTCAAAGAATAGCCTAAAGTGTCAGACAAGTTTATCCATGGAGTAACCCATAAATGTGTGGCAGCATGTTGTATCTTATATAGAAAACTAGTGCACACTACAAAAAAATGTAAGCGCCCTTCTGAGGCAGAATATAATTGGAAAAACAAGATCTTTGAGAAGCTATCTAAACTGCACAGCTTGACATTCGTATTTCAGTCACATTTGTTTACAGCTGAACATCTTAAAAAGTCACTGGTGATCTCTGCTGAAGAATGTGGGGAGAAGCCTACATGTACCCCAGTTCTTAAAACCAAATATAGTCTTACAGTAGAGAAAATGCAACTTCTAAGATTACTTAGAAACAGCCTTTCATCTTCACACAGATGAAAGCCAAACTCTTCTGCCTAATTTTTCAATCCCAATTCCTCTCAAAGTCTGACAATTAAAGCCAAAAGAAGGAGGCAGCTACAAAGTGAACATCATATTAACACCTGTGCACAGAACTATGTGTTTGGACTATGGTTTTCCCAGAAAAAAAATAAACTGGAAAGACACTGCCTTTGAGACAGATTTAACTTTAGCTGCTTCCATTAGTTATTTCCTAAGAGTCCATCAAGGGCAGCCTAGAACAGAGCTGCAAAGTAGAGCAGACTACAGACTACATCCCACACCCCAACAGACACACGAGACACTCTCCCCATCTGTATTATTTAGGATCAACCCTGTCCAAAATCTCCTCAACTCCACACATTAGGGGTCCTTGTTCCCTCACCTAATGGTCCTGTGCTGCCTCTGGTCAACTCCCCCATCCTTGAAGCTGAAGTCAGTCCTGTCATTAACTGAACTCTCAGGGTGCTATGACCACGAGACAAAGAGCAGGATACAGCTGCTCTGTGAAACACCTAGTTAGCACTGTCCAATTTAGCAGCATTAATAAAGGAAAGAACAGTGCTAACATGGCTTTAGGGTAATTATATCCACAGAGGTAGTTAACTTGCATTAATATATATCTAGGCAGAAAGGCTTGTCCTATGGCTAAAGGAAAGAGTCTAGAACTAGCACTGTCACATGCTATTTCAAGGCAAGACAGGTTGTTAAGGCCACCAAATTAAGGCTAAAATATTGATGCCATCTTAAGTTACAATCAGTCTGTGCAATTTGACAAACAGTTCAACTGCTCTTACCTAAAGCGACATATTCTCCATCTTCCATATTTTTCACATTAATCACATCCTTTTCATATTCCAAATATTCTAAGAATGTTTTCACAGATAATACATCGTCCTTCTCATCAGCACACTGAACAGTATTTTGAGGATTTTCTTTCTTGTAGTTCTCCAGTAAAGTTTCAAGCCTATGAAAATCTTTTTCTTCAAGCCGAAGCAGTTTAGCCAAGTCCTTAAAAACCAAAAAAATTCCATATTACAAGACTGCTGCAAACAGATGTTTTTCAAAACACAGTAATAACAAAAAAAAGCCAGAAGAGTCAAAATATTTCATTTTGAACATTAAAAATGTCTTTTAAATGCGTCAAAATGATTGAATAATCTCCAAAACAGTTATTCATGTAGCTCAAATGAAGACCTTGTCTAGCTTCCTTTTTAAGGACTTGAACAGATACATTTCCCATTTTTAGATTCGGTTCATAGTATAACAATCACCCATCAAGCAAGAAAGTCTATCTAATACCAGTATGGCTTTTGTAAATGTATAAGCAGCTTTACAAATGATATCAAAAGCAAGCCAAATTATGCTGCTATAAAGTAAATATCAACATTTTTAACTTCCACTGAACCCAAAATAACCCAAAAAGTTAAGAATGTGCTAAATACTTTTAATAAAGGACTGAAAACAGGAGATCCTCATTCTACTTTCATTTCTATCCCAACTTTACATGACTTCTAAAGAATATTAGGTAGACAAATTCCTAGGCATTTGTATGAGGATGGAGGGAAGTATTATAAACAATTACTTCATTAAAAGTTCCAGGCCACAAAAATGGCTAACTCACTTACCTACTTATTTGATCTAAGGCCTTGAAAATGTATTTTTATGCTTAAATCATCACTCAATTCTATAAGACAACTGAATTGTGAATTTACTCACATTATCTGAAGGTGAAGTGTCTTTCTGTATGCTTTGGGAATTCAGTTTACTAACTAGTTCATAAAGTTGTAACAGCTTTAACTTGTTTGTGCAGAACTGTAGTAGTCCTTCATCCACACACTCAAGCTCTGAGGAGAAATAAGACTGCATTTGAACTAGAATATACATAGCCTGGAACAGTGAAACATATTTAGCAAAGCTGGAGGATTTCTGCGTCAGTATAATTTTCTGATGCACTGCTGCTTGCAATTATTATTATTTTCAATTCACAATGGTATAAAACAACACTTATTTTTACAAGAAGCATTACAGAAAGGTATCAGGCTCATTTTTAAACTGAAGGAGGTTGACAATATGGAACTGAACAGAGACAGATCTACTATCTTTTCTGGTTTAAGACAAAACCAGAGATTGCCAAGAACTGAAATACAGTTTCTATTTCAAGAGTAACAAACTACAATCTTTTATTCATTCTTCCAACATTTTAAGCACATTTCTTGCATCAAAAAAAAGTTTGGCATCTACAGATAAAATAAACAATCTCAGCAAGACACTGCCTTTTTGTATTTTTATGATCTTAGTCTCAGAAACTTCATGTATCTGTTGACATTCAAATTCCAGTAACAATTAAAGCAAACAGAATATAGGAAACAAACACCAACACAATGTCAAAAACCTCCTCTATTCTAGTTTATTTTTTCTAAAAGAAAGCATTTTGGAGAGATCCTAAAAGGCCCTTTCTGTACAAAAGATATCTGAATATTCACTTGAAACAGTTTCTGAACATGATTTTCATCGTACCAACCCTTAAAAACGTTTGACACATTGCTATTAAAATCCTGCAAATGAGAGAGAAGCACACAGAGCCTGTCACACAGTCACTTGCCCTTATCTTCACAACCACAGCTTTCACAGAGCCTAGGATCTGCTCCAGATTATCTTTTATCTACAAGACAGAAGTAGAAGGACATGCCACTACTTTTCAGAAATTAGAAGGCTAGAACACCAGCCAGGTTTGTTCTTTATTGTGGCTGTGAGGAAATAATGTTATATATGGCAACAAGAGCCTAACAATGAAAAATATACCAACAAACAGACCTCAATCTCTCTCCAGTGTAAAAGGGCATGTTTCCATTTTTCTTCGGGGTTTTTTTTTTTTTGAGTTCCAACAGAAATGGAATATGCTAGTAATTTAGAATGCCAAACCAAAATTAGGTAAGGAACTACATGTGTTAAGCTCTCAGTATGCTCTACCTACTTCAAGAAAATAGTTTAAAAACCACCCGATACAAATGAAGGAAATATTTATTTTTGAGGATTTGAAAGTACAAAAATGTGTTGTCACATTCTCTATTGCTGAGAAGTTCCAGCACATGCAAAGGAAGCGGCAAGCATGTTCTTCTCCACTCTAATCCTCAATACCCAGTTGGGTCTCCAAAATGGTGTCACCTCAAATACAAAGAATGTTCTCCCTATTCAGAAAGATCAAAATGTGTAACGTCAAAGAATCTTGCAGAGTTTCAGCAACAAGATGTTGAGTTGGTAATGCCTTTCCTGACATAGGCTATGAAACCTCTAGCAAAACATGAAATTTCTTAGTAAACTTCAGCGAAGTTTACCAAGAAATTATACTATGCATCTGGTCACAGCTCAGATCCTCAGTAATAAGGGGTTTATGCTTCCAGTACATTAAAATTCACAGATCCAAAGTACCAAATCCTTACTGCCTTCCTTGGAGAGGGAAAAAAGTAAAACATCTACAGGCAAAAGCCTATGAAAGCTTCTTTCTGAAGGAAGCTTTTATTGGACACAAGTACCCAGCTCAGTTGTTGCTGATTTGTTCTATTAAAAATATAATCACAAGTTATTAGGCACACAGCAAGCATAGCAAAGCATGCTTCCTGGTAAGCTATTTACAATCTGCATTAAAAAAAGAGATATGTAAAAGCAACATCCTGCAATATCCAGCAGCAAAACTAAGTAGACCAAATCTGGTCTCCCTGTGGAACAGAACAATTCTATAATAGTCTTACAGCACTACAGACAAAGTGCAAATGCCTCTCCATACTTGGAAAACAAATATCCACCTACCCTGTTTTTTCAAATTATCCACTAATGTCTGAGTGATGTTTGTGAGAGATGAAAGTGGCACACGTTCACTTGTCAATATACTTTCCAAAGCCTGTTAAGAAGACATCCAACAGAATTAAACATTTACTTAATTCTACTCTAAAAACATGTAAGTTAAGCAAACAATAGCACAACTTTGACCATGATATTTCATCTGTATTTCACCTTCACATATGCTTGTGGCACAATTTGTTCCTACTAAAAGGTCTGCTCTCTTTTTATTATTTTGAGTTTTATCATGAAAGACGACTTGGGTAAGTCACAAGTCAAGATTCATTCTAGTCAATATGTTGCAAAAAAAAACAACCCAGGAAAAAAACCCAGAAACCCAGAACAGCTCAAATATTTGCACCAAGTAACTCTAGGCAAAAAAAAAACTCCAACATATTTTGAATGGTTTAAAAAGATTTAGCAGTCTCATCTGATAATGCAGATTTTTTTTCCTAATATTAAAGTATACTGGCTTCTAAATGTTCACCTGTTTTTTTGTAGCAGGGTACTTGATATCAAGTATTAATTCCTTTGCTTCCGCTTCAATCAAATCTGCAAAGACAATCACAACTTCAATTCGTTTTTCTCTAATGCATTCTGAAAATCAAGTCAACCTGCACCACACGGGCTCATACACTTTTGCAAAAGTTGCCAAAACAAGCTTGGGGAAAATGAAATGAACTAACAGCTCAGTGACATCTCTTACTCCAAATCTGTCTTTTGTGAGAAATATATATTGCTTACAGGAAGAAGGATATCTAGAGTCAAATGCTGAACTACATCAGAAAGCATAATTGATTGCAAATAGATCAGGCTTTATGCAAGCACTCAAAGTGTTGTTTATTCATGGCACAAGATTCAAATGGCACACAAGGCTTATACCAGATCCTGGTATGAGATAAATTTATCTGGTAGCTTACTAAAAACCAAAACCAAAACCCAAGGTACTTAAAGATCATAACTCATAGCACATACAGCTGTCAGAATGCACCACAATCATACAGTGCTTGTACACTTAGAGGACAGAGAATACAAGAACCATTTGGTAACATACAATCTTAATAAATTATACAAGAGAACCTACCTGGATCTGAGGTTCTGGCTTTGAGTAAAGCATTTAATTTCTTTACTAGATGCATATCCTTTGCTCGCTCACTCTTTTTATCACTGAAAGAAAAGAATTTTAATTGCATGAGTGAAGAGAACTAAAGGGAATAATTCTGATTTTTTAAAAAATTTATTCATGCTACTGTAAGGTAACATCACGTTAATGAAAACCAAGATCATGCATACAAACCAATGAGACTATCACAGAGTAGTTTGAGCTTGAGAAGGAACATCAGAACTGCTCTCTCTAAATAAAAAACTGTTTCAAAAAACAATAAAGAAATTAATTATTCTAGTTACAAAGAGCATAAAAAGTCCTTACCTCAGTGCTAAGTGGAAAGGTACATGGACAGTTTTTACACTTCCAGAGACTGGATCAACAAGGCATATCTGGTAAGTCTGGGGCTGCCATCCCTGACTGGTCACATTGTTTAGACCCATTATTTTATATCCAGGATACAACAATCTGAAACCAACAAAAACCAGCCTTTTCTGTACAGGACAAAATTAGTAGTAACCTTCTCCTTCCACATCCTGAATAAAAAGGCAACAAGTTTTAAAAACTTAAACAACTGCTAAATGTGTTTATCAGCAAAGACTGTAGAGGGATGAAATATGACCAAGTCCCTAGTTTATATAAAATGACAACAAGCTGCATTCAGTAGAAACATTATGGGCAATGCAAAAAGTGCCTGCCAGTACCACTTGCATACCGACATATTGCTGCAGCACAGCAACACATCTACCTGTTACCTGTTTCTTACCTGCAATGTTTCCCCACATTAAAGGCTCCAACCCGAGGCCCTTGCTGTGTGCTCCACACTTCCAGAATGCCTCTCCTCGGAGCATAGATCACAAGGAACTGAGCTACTCTGCTTGGACCCTGTGCATTTCCAAAAGGAGAAGAATCCATCTTCTCAGTTTCCCTCTCCTGAAGGTCCTCTACAGTTTGGATCCAACCAACTTCTGCATCACGGTATCCTTTGTAAGAGACAACAAAAGTTCATTTAATGTACAGTAATTACCACAGGATTAGTACACATCACCACCCACCAATATCACCAGCAGGCTGTAATCTTAGATGTTTCAAATTCTGCAACTCTGGCCAGTAGACAAACTCCTGACAAGAACTGTGGTCCGTTTACTCTGAACAGGGGCCACCAGAGAGTGGTCAAATGAAGCCCCCTGCAAGGCTTTACTGAGGAATACGTTCCTCTGGCAAAAGACACAAAAACCCCTCAATACTCATCAGGTCTCAATTCTGGACATTACACCACTGCAAAAGCTTCACAGAGAAGAAAGATCTGTAGACAGTGTCCAGATTTCTTTGCATTGAAAAAACAACAAAATATTTAAGGAGGGAAATTTGCATAAATAGGGTATTTTAAACAGTAGGGTATAAATAGAGTATTTTATACGTATATTTTCATCATTAAAATGCATTTTTTAGTAGCCAAATGAAAATACTCATCTTCTCTCTTTCTCTGGGCAACACAAATACTTTCCCTCATAAAATCTTCCTACACAAAGAAGGCAGAGATGCTCTAATGACATCACTGAACTATGTAATGGTTTAGCAAGCAGAACTGAAGACTCCAAGCCACAAGTGAAACATTAATGTATAAACCAAGTTTATAACAAGATATGTTACCCTGAGAAGGTTGAAAAGCACTCAGAGCTCAATTCATGAGAAAAGGTATGATCCAAACCTTTTAATACCACAGACAGTGTTGCTTAAAAATGAAAAAAAAAGAAGCTATTTCACATCTCAACAACCTCACCAGGGAAAAGCCAGCAAACTGTAAATGTGTATCCAACTATCAAATAAAGCTTGGGACTCTAACAGTACTACCTAGAAAGCATGAAGCTCCCAGTAATGAAGAAAAAAAAGTCTGAGCACATCAGAAAGCGTATATTATAAATAATAAGCTTCAAAATGAGAGAAAAATGCACCGGGGAAACATGATTACTCCAGCTGCTACACTGTTAGTATGCCATTGAAATAGCTACTGTATTCATGACCACTAGTCTTCTGAACTGGTAATGTGGAAGAAAGAGAGAAGAGCTTGAAATTTTCTACCTGTTCTTAAAACTTAATTTTCCATCTCATAAAAAGCTGCAAAACTGTAATTCTATAGAGAAAATAAGAAGTGTAGTAATATTAGCTTTGATTACAATTTGAGAGCTTAACATCTGCATTTCTTTTACAAAAAAGCCCTCAATTTCAAAGAGACTGAGGACTTCCTGCACAGTCACCATGATGAAATGAGAATCAAACATGTATCTTCTCACTGATTTTTCAAATTATTTTCTCAGCAGTATTAAAGAAGATACAAGAGCTCATCAAGAGAATGAATCTTGAAGAACAGAGCTAAAGCTCTTCCAAAACCATTGTTAGGTTGAAAGCTTTCTGATGGGATACAGTTTGTGAAGGAAAAATGTTAAGAAAACTGTATAAAATACAAACCAAACTGGCCAAATTTTAACTATAGGCCATATAAGCATTTCAGGTACTCACAACAATACCCTTGTGGACATTATTATTACACCTGAATTTGGTTTGCAATGACACAATGCACTAAAATTCTTGAAATTCTAAGTCTGAACATATGAAGCCAGACTGTTTTTGAAGAACATTACATGCTACACTAATATTCACTACCATACCTTTCCACATGCGAACTGCAAGTCCCCTTGTAACATCCAGTAAAATAACCCTTCCAAACTCATCTGTTACTGCTGCTAAAGTGTTACATGGAGAGAGACATATTCTTTCACCATGGCGACGGGAATCTGGAAGTCCAAACCTAAAAGAATAATAATAATCAAGCAAAACCACTAGATACCTCTTTTTCTTCAGATGTAGTTAATGGATTCCCTTATAAGGAACAGGATTGCTTTCTTTAAGGTAGCATAAGGCATCAGTAAAATTAAGATGAAATAACAAAAAAAAATTCTTGTGCTGTCTACCAGGATATATCATAGGTCTGTCTAAGCCCTGAAAAATCAAAGGCCAGAAACTAGCATAAGTGATTGCCTTGTCATGCATGGTCAGGCAAAGATCTCAGAGCCTCTCATTGCAGAAGAGGCTTTAGAATACTTTTTTTTAAAAGAAAAACCATCAGGAATTAATTTAGTCTTTCATCAGCTTTCTTGACAACATTAGGCTATAACCTGTTGTTCTCCACAATCAACAGGGAAATAGGATACTTCCTAGTTTTTCTGGTGGACTTTAAACCATCATAAGCAGCATCACATGTGACTTCCTTGAAGCACTTCAGTTATAAGCTTCAGGAGTGACATTTGTGTACTTATACTGTCATTAAACTGTGCACATTGTTCTTGTACAGTAACAATGAACCCACACAGTGGAAGTGAATGATATGAGTCATTATTTGTCCAGAATGATAAACTGAAATGACACTGAGTTTAAAACAAATGACCTGAAAACTATCACACTGCTTAAAGTCAAGAAAAATAAACATGCTCACCAATTATGTGCCTTTCAAAATAATTCAAATACTCAAACACAAGAGACCTAAAGCAACTGACAGTTAAAAAAAAATAACTTACCTCACTGCCAATGGGGTTGCAGGTTCCACTTTTGGTTTCTGTTTTTGGACAGGTTCTTCTTCATGCTTACTCTTCCAACCAAGCCAGCCACTTACAACAGAAAAGCACATCAGGAGAATTACTCTAATGGTCCTAAATATACTCAAACTACTATTGTAGCTACTAAAAAAGGAAAAGAAGTAATTTCTTATTTTATTACCTAGCAGCATTAAATAATGCTGAAGTCAGTTTACTTGCAACTGCTAAGGCAACATGAGACAACAGTGGCTGTGAGCTACCCTGAAAGAAAGGAATAAAATGTTTAGCAAGTCAAGAAACAGTCAGCTGTGAGCCAGCCTGAAATGAAGGAGCAAAGCTTTTAGAAAGCCAATAAATAGTCCTTACACTGAACTCAACTGCAGAATAGTTTTTCAGGCCTCCTATGGACTTTCAGCTCAGAAAGCAGAGCTTTAAGACTCTGCTAAATTTTAATTCACTGCCCTCAGAAAAGCCATTCTGACATCTCTTTACCATTTCAAAATCCTCCTGCAAGCCACTGGTAGCTCACTGTGTTTGTCTGCAACAAAAGTTAAAGTAACCCTGTGTATGATTTATCACGGAGAGTTAGCTGGTGTATGGCTTTGGTAACCTTGCAAATATTAATGTAAGCAGTTTCTTCATAAATATATTGGAAAAGCAAGTACAAAAATCAAAATTCCAATTCCAGCATTTTAAATCAACTTTTGATCCTGACAAGGACAGCACACACGTACAGTCTTGACTACAAGACACACAGCTACAATGCCATCCTTCTCAATGCAACAGAAGATCATATAAGTGTGCTACAGGTATCATTAAGCTTAAGTCGCAGTTTTCTTCTACAAGTAGTAGTTCCACTACATGAAATTACCACAGTACATTCAGGTCACGTGCATAGACGACCAAAGGCCAAAGAACTCCAAAAATCCCCAAGATGCATGTTTACACAATATCAATCACATTTTTTTAAAAAACCTTAAGGTACTTAATTAGTAATAAATTAACAAATTTTTAAAACTTAAAATTACTTGACTAACACATTCATTTTAAGATAGAAAATAAAATTTCTCATTAGCAGCAACCCGTGTCAGACATTACTATCTCATCCACACCAAAATATTCCAGTTTCGGAACATCAAGAAGGGGAAATGTCAGCATAAAACAAACATAAGAATACTTTAGAAATACTCATACAGAAAAAAAGAAGTATTCATTTTTCAAAGTTTCAGCAAGTCATCTTTGTAGTACATACCTCCAGGGCAAAAAAGAAACCAGTGAAAGGATTGGCTCCCACAGTAACATACTGAGACATAGCAGGTGGGCTGTTTTTTATGGCTGCATTATATCCTCCTATATTGGAGGCGGTCTTCATTTGATCAAAAGGACACAGTGTCATGATGCCTAACAAAGACATTAAAGTGAATGTCTTACACTTTCACAACAAAGGCATGCAATTGCTCTAGAAGCCTAAATATATTCCTGCCTTCTTGACTGGTCAGCCAACATTCAGGGGCAAGGGAGGAAGAACAGGTTTAACCACAGAAATTCCAAAGAACACAGCAGAAATAACCTAATGCACAGCTGGTTTGTTTAGAAGAAGAAAAATTCAGCAGACATCAGCAGCAAAAATGCATGTGTCAAATGCACTTCACCTGCCTTGGCAGTCTCCTTCTGACCAAGAAAAGCATCTGCTTTTGTAGAAAGGGTGGAAGAAGCTTCTGTTTCTCAGATCTGCCTCTAACAAGAACCTTAGCTTCTGTAAATTCCTGAGGGCTGAAAGTGTTTGAGAGCCTAAAAGTCAATTTGTCTCTTATGGAAAGGAGCAATCTCAATTTTATTTTCTTTACGTGCTAGACTCTGGAAAGACCAATACCAGACTTAATCTGCCCGCCAGACAGTTCTTTCACCTGACAGAAATGGGAATAACTGCATCTGACCTAGTCTCTCTTGGCTGTTTCTTACCAAACAACAAAGGACAAGACAGTTACAGCTGTAACATCCTTTCTCCCCTCGAGTGGAGAGGGAAGGTGCAATCAGACTAGAAAAGAAAGTAAAATACACTTTTGATGATGGTTAATGAGATCATTCACTGTGACAGCCTTCTCCCACTATGTTTATCCAACCACTACCACTAAGTGCTTTCGGTCCAAATTTAACAGCAAAAAAACATTTATTTCATTTATCTAAATACTTCAAATTGAACAGAAATGCTTACCAATACTAGCATGGTCAACAATTGTATCCACATCTTGCAAACCCCATTTCTTATAAGCTAATGGTGGAGGCTGAACATTCTCATTGCCAGATGCTGCAGCTGACAAAACACAAAAAAAATTCTACTGAGTCAAAGGAATAGCATAACAGATTGGAAAAAAACACAACCTGATACAATCTGAAGTCACAAAATAACCTAGTTTAAAGTTAACATACATTGAAACACCTGGTGAGCTAAAACAGCCTTTTGAAATATTTACCTGCATGAAATTAGAACGTTTTAAAAATTTCACTGAAGAGAACTGCACAGGATATTCAATCAATTTTGTCCTTGCACAGAGCTTTGTCTCACTAGCTATTTATGGTATAATAATCTGTACACTTTTTTAAAGCTACTACAATTTATTTCTGTGGTCTGGTCATGTTTAAGTGGAAACTCCTCCACCCAAGTACTTGCAAAGTCAGCACATTCACTACATATGTAACAGTGTGAGGTAAGAACAGTAGTAAAACTATACCCATGACTGAAACTTTCAAAATATCTACTATGACATAGATGATCAGGAATGAAAGAAGCTAGAGCACTCTAGCTACAGATACTGCAACAAGCTCTAAATGCTTCTCTGCAAATTGTGATCTCTCACTGAAATGGCAGAGTGTGTCCTGGCTGTGAAAGCAAATGGGTATTTCTCATTACAGTGTCTGTTTCCTTTTGTATTTGTTGCATGATTCACAGAATATCAGGTTTTCAGGTTATGATTTTCAAGAAGTTTGCCTTATCTCGTATTTTCAGACTACCTTTCCATTAAGAAGATAACAATATACATTATTAGATAGACCCGGAGAGCTTTTAGCATGGCAGACCAGGATCTGAGCAGGGCTAAAACCAGATGTCTAGGCAAGAATATTAGAATAAGGACATATATTTGATGCTTCCTCTAAACCAGCTTCCGAAGGCACACAGAAGTAAGCTTTAAGCACTCAGTAAACTTCCACAGCTCTCCTCACTGATTTGTCAGTTTCCCTCGGAGCCCAAGCAAGCCCTTAGCATCCACATCAACCTCAAGCAAAGAATTCCACAATTTCACCTTGTGCTACATAAACATGCATAGCTTTAATTTGGAATTTACTATCACCTAACTTCACTTCATGCCACTTTGTCCTGAACTGAAAGAAAGAGTGAGCAATCCATTTCTACTGGACATCCCCCCATGATTCAGAGAAGAGCTGTTTCACCACAGCCACATTTCTCAGTTCTTTACCACTCAGCCCTTTTACATAAGATTCAGGCCTCAGTTTAAGGGTGCTGCCATACCTACAGCTCCTAATGCTGTCATGCTGGCAGATCCATTATGTTTCCCACCCACACCCAGCCTCGTGACCGCCTGCTGATGTGACTTGCTGTAACAGAAACAAGAATCTCACAAATTTGAAGTTCAATTAGAACAACCATCAGGAAATTCAGGAGAAAAACTCAGCAACAGTCTTTTTTTAATGATTTATCCTGCAGAATTGTAACAGCACCATACTTGTGCCATCTACCACACGGTACTGTCACGTGGTTCTCCTCTCACTCCAGGAAACTGTTCGCAAATTAGAGTATGAACAGGCACTGTGCTAAAGGAACAAGATCAAAGACTGCACAATCAAACCAGATATCAAAACCTCTCAGACATTAACACAAAGAGCAATGATCATTACCAACATAATCACAGCATTTTCACTTCCCATGATGTCCTTACTGGGAAGAGTATTTCACTGACAGTGAAACCAGTACCATGACATGCTAAGAAGCACCTTAGCAGTGTGGTGTGTATTAACACCAGGGGCAGCTAAGCATCACAGAGCCACTCACTCACTTCCTCCCAGTGGGATGGGGAAGAGTTAGAAGAGTAAAAGTGGGAACACTTGTGGGTTGAGATAGACAGTTTAATAGGTAAAGCAAAAGCTTTGCATGCAAGCAAAGCAAAATAATGAATCCATTCACTACTTCTATCAGCAGGCAGGTATTTAGTCACTTCCAAGAAAGCAGAGCTTCATGAAGTATAACAGTTACTTTGGAAGTCAAATGCCATAACTCAATGTTTCTCCTTCTCTCCTCCCAGCTTTTATCACTGGGCACATCATCATATGGTATGGGCTCTCCCTTAGGGCAGCTGGGGCAGCTGTCCCAGCTGTGTCCCCTCCCAATTTCTGGTGAGCCTGCAGACTGCTCACTGGTAGGGCAGTGTGAGAAACAAAAGAGCCCTGAAGCTGTGTAAGTGCCGTTCCACAATAGCTAAAACACTGGTGAGCTAGCAATGCTGCCTTCATCACAAATCCAAAACATAGACCCATACCAGCTACTAGAAAGAAAATTACCTCTATCCCAGCCAAAACCAGTGTACAGCATTATGGTGAACATGTACAAGACAGTCAGTACCACCTGGACAACTATGAGGACATTTTCTGCAAAGGAAGAAACTTCCCTGTCTGCAGTAGATGTCAATATATTGATGGGCAAGAAAAGACAATCTAAATTCCACCTTGATTTGATATTTAACATAAGTTAACATAAGTAAATTTCATAAAATTTAAAGTACTTTTAACAGAGTCAGAAATAAACATTTTCCCTTAAACGTACCTCTCGCTACCTGATTGCGACATGCACGAAGGGACTGAAAGAGGCTGAAACCATCAATTGTCACAATTGCTGCTGGGTACAAGATACTTAGTTCCTCATTCTGTGGAAAAGATGAGAGAAAGGAGACAAAAAGAAGTAACTGTTACTGTTGTAACAACTTATTTTCTCGCTTTTTATAGTATCAGCTATGCCAAGATGAGGATTACATCCAGAGAGTTAATAGCTAACAAGTCACAGGCAACAGACTAAGGCAAAACTACATAAATTCAACATTAAATTGTCCAATAAATGATTTAGACACAATTTTATATTTTTATCTTCTTTCAATAACTTCTTTGTTTGCTTAATATGTGTTATGGATTAGGAAGAAAATACACAAGTTACAGTAGTTTGTGAAGGCCACAGAAAAACAGGTTCATCTAGAATGCAAACATCAAGGTTCTGTGAGCCAAATTCTAAAACTGGACTAGTGCCTAAATTATCACTTGAGCACATAAATGCTAATCTGGCGATACAAATTCAAGACTCAAATTCCTTAATGTTTCTGCATTTCAAAACTGATCCCAAAAATGTCATGCCGAATCACAGGAGCCTTTGTACAAAGCAAACTTGGAAATTTCTAAAACTTCATTAGCTCTCCACATAAAGCATGCCAACTCGGCCAAGAGCAAGCAAGGTGCCTTCTTTCCCAAAGAGCCTGAACTCTGCAGAAAACGCTTATTATGACATGCAGGTCCAAGCACTGTAAATACTGTTTTAATTTTCACCTATCTTCCATTCATAAATTCTTATGAATAAGATTGGCACCTGTCTAGTTGCATTATCTCCTTTCATCAATGCATTACAGCATTTTATGCACATAAATGAATAAACAGGAAATGAATGAAGCATTCCTTTGCCAGGTTATCACAGAGAAAAATACAAAACCTACAGAGCTAATATTCAAAAAACTAAACAGACATTCTGAATCCTCCAACTATACAGGCATGAATACTTCCAGAACAAGAAATCCAGAGTCTCTTGTTCTAAGGAACTGTCCATCCCATCAAAAACTGGTAAAGGACACAGAGGATTCACAGAGAAGACTCCCTTCCATACCCCATAATACTGCCACTTCGCTTTTGAAATAATCTGACAAAACCTGTTCTGTGACACCAGGATGCCTGGGAATTTCATAGGTTCTGCACTTTAGCTGTAGGACAGGATCTTCATTCAAAAGCTGTGCAAGAAGCAGCACTCCATTCTAGAAGAGAAAGAATAAGCATGAACATTTCTGTCCCTTTCCCTAGGGAAGGCAAAAAGCACTAACTGCAGAAACAAAAGCTTTACAGAATGGATGTTGATGACAATAGCTCATTTGTGGGCCTGATGTGCCCAAGAAACATACCTCAGTGTAAAAACGAACACAGCCAGAGGTGAAGCCAACCACAATGCAGGTCCAGTCAGGACGGCCTGTGGAACTCCTGTTTCACAAAGATATACAAGAAGTTAAAACTAAATCCTGTTCTAAGCTATAGACATGTAAAAGTGCAATGTTAAGAGACTCGTGATGCACACACATAGGAATATCAATCCTTACCTCTTCTGGCTTGCCAGTGGAATACACAACACACTACTCACGCATTCACTAGAAACAGAAACATAAAATTAATTTTTTTCCTCCAGTTGTGAAATTTTGCTCTGCACAAGAGATCTAAATCAGCATTTTTTATGTTTTAATAATACATTAATGCAGACCAACATGGAACAAATTCACAGTAAGAAACCAAAAAGTCCCTTCACATTAAATACATTTTCAATTACAAGTTCCAGGGTGCCCAAATAGATCATGAGTGCTTATTACACCTTGCTAATGCTGTATTTCATCATTCACAGACTGACTATTCTGCCAGAACTCTTCAGTGGATTCGTGTTAAATCTCCTGTACCTAAAGGTAAATAATTTTTTCTGATCTATAATGATATACCAAGAACAAACACTTCTTTTAGAAGAAGTCAACTGAACCATACTTCTCAAAATAATTTTTTGAAATACAGTATGCAGTAAGGTAGATTTTACATCCATTGCATTTCACTGCCTTATAATTTGAGAGCATTTGAAAGGGCTAACATGGTCTCCCCAGGTAATGCAACAACCAAGCATGCTCACTACATGTCAGGCAAAGCATGCAGAAGGCAAGCAGATGAGCAGGCCTCAATATCTCAAATCAAAAGGTATTTAACTGTTACCATGACAGAAAGTTTTACACTGTCTGGGGAAACAGAAGCAGTACAAAGGTTTTATGAAACAGCACATAAATTCAAGATGACATCCCAAACAGCACTTATAGCATTAACGGCCACAGTACTGTTTATTATTTACATTTCAGGTCACCTCCATTCCCCAAGGAGTGATTAAATAAGCAGAAAATTACAGGGAAAAAAGCCTTCTAAATGCAAGTTTGAGATGAGTTGCAAAAAGCAACATTAAACATCTCAGTGAAACCTCATCTTCCAATAGCGAAGCTTAGCCACCAACAGAATGTTCTTAGTTGAAGGCAACTTTGGGGAAAGAAAAAAACACCTACAAACCCACAAAACAATCAAAACCATCCAAGTCTTTTGACAAAACTGATAGTAATTGCCATATTTACACTTCTACAGAAATAATAAATAATAATGAATCGAGATGCAGTGAATATAACTGTGCCTATCTAAAGAGAGCTACCTGTTCCATGCAATAGTGTCTCTTGGGGCTGTAACGGTAGTAAGGAACAACCCTCAAACAGAATTACTTTTTCTTTTCTTTAACAAAGACGTCAGGGTATTTTCAATGGTAGTATGGGGAGGAACCAACAACTTAGAAATGCATATAAAACAGTTAAAATGTGTGGAAGCAGCAGTTTTATAAAAGGATTATGACTTTTACAGATTGGAGAGAAGCTGATTAAGTCAATACCTCGTGCAGCACAACAGAAGGTTGAAGGCCATAGGGAGCCTGTTCAGAGACAGACAGCAACCCAAGGCTGCAAACTTAATAACTAAGTGTAAAAACTTCTTCCATATGGGAGATCCAGAAAAGCATCTGTCTGGTTATTTGAAGACAGACTGAGCAATAATATTGTGCAAATACCAAATGTAAGACCAAAGCAAATTTTCAAAGCCCCTAAATGACTTAGAGTCCAAAACCATTTCTTGATCAAAAAGATGACTTTATATTTGCTTGAGGTTTTGAAATGAAATGCTTCTAAAACAACTTTATACATTTCCATTTGCAACATCCCCAGCAAAATTTAATCTCTAAAATAAAAGAAGATTTTCCAAAGGGAGTACTTACTTTTTTTCCCTTCTAGAACAAGAACTTACAAACAGCACAGAATCTCCAATCTCTTTAAAGGTCTAAATTATATGCAAATACACTGATTTGCACAGAACACTTCTTCTAATTTGTAAGAATTTGTCCTGAGACACCACACAATGCACAAGAGTGACCTCTGCAGACAGTGTTTCTGACCACCCATGTTACTCCATTTGTTTTCAAAACTAAAATGCATAAGACCATGAATGCACTCGGATGAAAGAAAACAAAAAAGAGAAGGAAACAGCATATATGAAACATAAAAATAACATTTTCATCACAGCTGCAACACCTACCCTTCTTCAACATTCAGAAAGCCACTCCAGCCAACAGCATATTGCATTTCCTCTTTTCCCTTGTCACTGTGCTTCCATTTAGCTGCCATTAAGAATAAAGACACCATCTATAAGATCATAACGTTTTGCATCTCACAAATTAGTTCTATTGCTAAACTTTCTCTTATGTATCCTTTAGCACTTAGACCAAGTACCAATTCAAACCCTGAAGATCATAAAAATAACATATGTTTTCTTAGAAATTTATGTGGAACAACACACTACTAAAATTCTAAAATGCCTAGTTTTGTTCAAAAATATTCATACAGTAATATCTCCATCAAATATTAAAAGGTTCAATCCATAAAACAGCGATCCTTAGGAAAGAAGCACTAAACAGGGTTAAACTTCTGGGAACATTACTATTACTGAACATGAGCTTAAACAAATAGAAAATTTTAATTGCCAAGAAGGACATAAGACTCACACATTAAACTGACATTCTTTAATCACTGCATCATCATTCAAGACTAGAAAATACTATGCTTTGTTATTCACAGGATGCTATTACAGCTGACATTTGGTTGTTGAATCATCTCCCAGGTGCCAATGGATGACCAAAACCAAGTTAGTGTTGTGTGCCATTTGTCTGACACCTGAAACCTGAGACACATGGACACTTCTGCCACTGTGTGGTACAGCTGCCACTCCACAGTAGCTCTCCAGCAAGTGAGTTAAGTCACTTGCTTATGTTTAACCCAGTAAGAGCTTCATGAATTATGCCCAATTATGCAACTCTAAGCTTCAACAGTCAGACTTTTGCATTAAGATGTTATAGTATTCCCTGTATCAGGAGGATTCCCTCCATCACAGTTATGTGCCACCAACTCTAGCTGTTAATACCACCAGCACCCCAGACAAGAGCACATACATAAACAGCAGCTGGCTGATCAGTGTGCATGGATTACTAAGGGTACCTTCAAAAGTTCTCAGAGCCCTGCTTTAAATATAAAGCCACCCATTCTTCAAGATGGAGAAGAATATTCTATCAAAGGTGGAAATCTCAAAACCAATTCACCTCAATACTCTCTGAGCCAAGTGACACTGGCTCAGGTCATTTTTTTTCAAGGGAAAGGACAAGTATTCCTTAATTTTTATTCCTAATTCCTTGAAATTAATACAAAAGTTTTGTTTTCCTTATTGAGCACAATTAATGTCTGTATCTCAGAGCATCTCAAGACAACTGGGTAGTTATAATACATACAAATTATATATGATTAAAAGGTTTTCTTGGTCAAAATACAGCTGAGAAAACAACTTACTTGCCAAGCACCACCTAGAAAATGCATAAAGTGTACTATAAAACACTCCAAAATTCTTGAAGTTGTGACATGGGGATAAGCAGATGGGGACGGGGGAAACAAATCTTGCCCTGGTTACTAGCATAAATACTTTGTAGCATGTATACTTACGCACTAAAAAGACTGCTTTCTGTTCATTAGCTATTACCATCAGGTCATTTGTTGGTGACAAGGACAACACACAGTCATGAAGCCAGTAATTTCTCTGGTTCTTGGAATTAGATTCCTCTTCTTCCTACAGGTAAAGCTTCAGTCAATGTAAGCAATAATTTTTAAACACAGCACAACTTGCAAAATATATGACAACAATTTGGCTTGTCCTCCATACCAGCGCTCAAATGAGTATTACTTTCACCTCACTACAGCTTCAATTTGCATGAAAAGCCATGAGAAATGCAAAACCTTGCACTAATGCTGTGTATTTTCAAAACAGGAAAGAAAGAAGTTCTCATCACTAATTTATCCAAGCTCTACACTGACCAGCAGTAAGTAAACACACACACATGAAGTAACAAAGCTGGCATTCACACAAAGGGCTCATGGTAACATGCAACAGGTATCAGGTGTCTTTCCACAACAAGGAACAGTGAATCAAATTCAAACTAAGAAATACCCATCATTACACTCTTAAAACTTGGCAAGTAAAGACTTAGATATCATCCTCATGTTTAAAAGCAAAAAAATTGCATCTTTTTTCCTTGGAGCAACAAACCAAATACCTGATTTTGGAACAAACAAGGTAGCTCCTGCTAAACACAGTTCAAAGCCAAAAAGTAAATAACAGGTTTTGAGTGGACTGCTACAAGGTGTGTCAGAGATGATACTCCTGCTTACTTAGCTCCATCTTCTCACCCCAACCACTGTAACACACTTTCCCTTGTCCACAAACTCCATTTCCATAGCCACATACCTTACCTCCTCTCCTAGCTCTCCAAAATCTTAACCCATCTTCTAGTACCCCAAAGCAGCTATGCACAAATAAAAACCCCAGCAACTTCAGTGTGATCATTTTCTAATCCATACTATTTATTCTGTTATAGGAAAGTTGTATCTGCTCTAAGATACACACACTCCCAGCAGAAAAATAAACACCAACTCCAGGAAGAATTTGCAGGTCATACTCTTAATCAGTTATTTATTGTATTTATTTCCTTTCATTAGGTTGTACCATAAAAATGGTCACTCTGTGCACATAGGCATACCCTGTATATCCATCATAAGGTCTACATTAGCACACTACAAACATTCTGTTAACTATCTTTGTCCACTCTATCCCTTAGTTTGTGCAAGAGGAGAACCTATTTTCATGTCCTTTGTGTCTCTTGATGGATGCCAGGTTATATAGCAGCAATTTCCCCCTATTTACTGGCATTCTCAAGACTTTACGAAAAGACACTGAAGTTGTCTGAGATACTCATGACAACTTTAACTGCTCACAATGGGGAAAATGCATCATGTTCAAAAACACGTAAGAAAAGCCATGTACTAATTTTAAATGTAATGATTTTCAAACTGAGAAAAAGAAACAGAAATGAAAGGCTTGTTTAAAGATTAAAAGGAATTAAAATTGTATCTCAGGCAGAAAATTTAAAACTATCTGTAAGCATAAACACCAAAGACATAAAACATGTCCATCTTATATTAGTGACAAAAATACGCTAAGGGTTAAAACACAAAAAAGTGCTGAACTTGTCAAAACATCATTTAAATCACCATTAAAAACAGCTATCAACATCATCATTCCTACCAAACAGCTAATATAGTTCCATAAAAGGACATCTTATGAAAGGAAAGAGAACTTTTTTCGTTCTCAGTGTCTTCTCTAAAGTTGTTATGTGCCAGGAAATAGCTACTTGTCCTGCCTGGGGGACAAGTAATTCCAAGAAACAATGATTTTTTCACTAATTATAATACCAATCAACAGTTAAAAGCTTTAACAAGGGAATTCACTGTTATATTATCATAATAATTCTCAACCCTGTGCTAGATTCACGCACTCATTTTGCTGTGTGTTCAGTCATACAGACTCACATATTTATATGCTCCTACACAGAACAACCTGTTTGCTGTGGATGACTTTATTCTTTCTGAAGAGTTTGACCTGGAATCACTAGCAACTTTAGGGGAAAACGTGTAAGCAGAGGAGAAGGAGGTCTTCAGCAAGAAGGGTGTGAGCTACCTGGCAGAAGAGTCTGACATTTCAAAGAAAAGAGTGAAAAATTAAACAACTGCAATTTAGCAGTGCCTACTGGTTCTATCAGATTACAACATAAACAGAAAACCAAGCATTTGTTCTCTTCATTCAGGAAGTTATAACCATTACAACACATCTAATAAAGATGTGGCCTAAGAAACACACTCATTTCATGGCTATTAGAGTGGATCTGAGTACCTATCCTATTTGAAACATTTTATACTCGTCACTCCCTGGCATCAGTGCCAGTGATTCATCCCTGAGAGACACTATGCTCACTTTAACTGATTTGTCAC